ACGAAGGTCAGGCGGAAGTCGTTGCCCATATCATCAAGCTCTTGACTGCGTGGCGCAATGATGCACCGGAGGAACACCCCGAGCTGCCAACCGTCGCGGTCTTGACGCCGTACAAGAAACAAGTCAACGCCCTTCGTCACAGAGTGCAGGGTACGCCCGTGTCGACCATCGACGCTTTCCAGGGCAGAGAGGCGGACGTGATCGTATTCAGCAGCGTCAGATCCAATCCGGATAATGACATCGGCTTTGTGGAGGACATGCGGCGTCTCAACGTCGCTTGGACCAGAGCGAGGCGTGCGCTTATCGTAGTCGGGGATCGCAGAACCATGTCGGAAGGAAGCGCGTTGTGGAAGAGGGCCATAGCGTCGTGCAAACATGTCGAGATTACATTACCGGAGACGTAGTGTACATAGCGTTCCAATGTATCGGCTGCAAGCAACAGCGACACTTCACTCCGCTGCGGCCCACTGTGGCCGTGATCGTGAAAGTTCGGAGCAAAGAACTAGAGGCGATGCGATTGGCCGACACGGTTCGCGTGGCACGCTGACGCGCTACGGCTGACCCGGACCGCGCTCGTCCTCGGCACGAAAGCTCACTCAGCAATCGTTGTCCCGGACGGCCACCTCTCCTTCGTCACCACCACAACTATGCTTCGTAACGTAGCTAAGACTACTCTGCGCCGTGGCTTGCATACCGCGCGCTCAAATGGCGCAACTGCAGCTGCTAGCGCGTCGCGACACCGCGTCGCACTGGCGCTGGGAACTTCTGCATCCGTGGCTGGCTACCTTGCATACCAACTTCAGTCTGGGACCCCTAAAATTGCGAACGATGCGATACACAGTACGTATAAGGCTTATCCAGATCTTTTGCTAGTCACTCAATATATCATAGGCGAGAAATTGAACAAGACGCCGTCATCGCCGACAGAGTCCCTCGTCGACAAGGCTCTTGACAAGCCTGTGGAAGCCGTCAAGGAGGCAACCTCTGCTGTTGCGGGAGGTGATGCGCCAGCACCGAGTGGAGAGGAGGCTGAAGGGGAGGAGGGCTCGACCCAGCAGGGCGCCTACGACCCTGTGACCGGAAAGATCAACTGGGACTGCCCCTGCTTGGGAGGCATGGCGTACGGTCCCTGTGGTCAGCACTTCAGGGAGGCATTCTCGTGCTTCATCTTCTCGGAGGCGGAGCCTAAGGGTATTGACTGCGTGGATGCATTCAAGGCCATGCAGCAGTGCTTCCGCGACAACCCTGAGGTCTATGGAGAGGGTAAGCACCATCCATTAGATCTACCTTGACCTATGCTCATGATGTCTATCAGAGATTCTCGGGTCGGATGACGACGACGAGGACTTTGCGGCCGCACCTTCCGACAGCACACCGCCAACTGCTAGCGCCACAACAACTGAGGACGCTTCTGCGAAGCCAGCTGCTGGTGCCTCTACCGGTGCAACCGGAGCTCCTTAGAGCTATTTATCCTGTGTCATACACGTACATTCATCTAATCCATTCGCATAGCTATCGTGCATACGTCATATTTCATACTGCAATCCCAGCTCTGTACCCTTGCTTTACTCAAATGCCGCGTTCCGTTCTCGATTGTTTCGGTCAAGCCAGTACTTCAGTGACCTCAGCCTCCGCGCTAACCTCCTTCACCTGCTCACCACCAACGTTCCTGGCTTTCCAACCGCCCTTGAGTGCGCCGCTTACGATTTCGACCTTCACTGCCGACACAGATCCCGACACCCTGAGCCTTGCCACGATCTGTCCCGGTTTCCTACTATCTGGGACGTCTAGTGTGACGTCCATTTGCTTCATGCTCGCATTGACGATGACTGTGACCGCTTCGCTATAGTCAAACGCCGCGCTGCGTTTTGTTCCCGGTGCAGGTAGTTGCTCCTGTGCAGTTACGATTGCGCTGTCAGGGCGAAGGAGAAGTGGCATGCTGAAGAAGTCGTGCGTCTCCGTGAAGTAGCCCGGACCATCGCGTGCGAAGCCATCGATCAGGCCGTACCACCTTCCGGCGGGGACGTAGAACTGCACCTCGCCAGCTTCGGTGAAGACAGGCGCGACGAGCAGAGATGGCCCGAGCATATATTGTGTGTCGATGTTCCAGACGGTGGGGTCGGAGGGAAGTTCGAGGAAAAGAGGACGCATCATGGGTACACCCGTCGTATGTGTCTTGAGCGCGACAGAATATATGTACCTGACGTCGTGATGAGTACACAGCCGCGATCAGCAAGTTCACGACATACGGCATGAGCGAGTGCTTGAGGTGAATGAACTTGCGAAGGACCGCGTCGGCTTCTCCAGAAGGGTCAATGACCCATGGAACCTGCGGGTCTGTCAGTACGGGCCGGGGCAACGAGCTCTAGACATACGCGGTAACTGCCACTGCCGTGCAACCGAGAATGACTTGACAGGGCGCCAAACGCGAACCAGCGCTTATACAGCGCCGGATCAGGCGTCCCCTCAAATCCACCAATATCATGCGCCCAATATCCAAATCCACACAGCCCAAGGCTCATCCCACCGCGCAGCGTCTCGGCCATAGCCTCGAATGTTGACATCGGATCGCCTCCCCAATGAACCGGGAACCGCTGGCCTCCGGCTGTAGCAGAGCGAGCGAAAACGACCGCTTCGTTCTTGCCAAGAGTCTGCTTTATGATCTCAAAAGTGCACTTGTTGTACAGGAACGCGTAGAAGTTGTGCATCTTCTCCGGGTTCGAGCCGTCGTGGTACACCGTGTTGCCCGTCGGGATACGTTCGCCGAAGTCGGTCTTGAAGACGTCGACACCCATGTCGATAAGCGCTTTCAGCTTGGTCTGGTACCACTTGTACGCGTCTGGATTGGTAAAGTCGACGAAGGCCATGCCGGCCTGCCACCAGTCCCATTGCCAAACACTTCCGTCGGACTTCTTAACGAAGTAGCCTGCCTTCGCTCCTTCGTCGTATAGTTTGCTCTCTTGAGCGATGTAAGGGTTGATCCACACGCAGACCTGCATACTGGTGAGTCCGTGTGCGAAGCATAAAGGGCTCAGTGACATGCCTTGTAGCCTTTATCCTTCAGACGCCGGAGCTGACCAGCGGCATCCGGGAAGAATTCGGGATCAAACTCGAAGTCACACCTGTACAGTACTATCAGCACTTGGTTAATCGTCAGAGATCATGAGCGCTCACCATTGGAAACCCTTCATCCAGAAGCAATCGAAGTGAAAACATGCGAGCGGTATGTCGCGCTCTTGCATGCCGTCCAAGAACGAGTTGACAGTCTTCTCGTCGTAGTTCGTGGTGAAGCTCGTAGTTAACCTATGCAGACCGTGGGATCAGCTTCTAGTCTCCAAAATACGCATGAACTTCACCGACCAAAGTCCGAAGGTCCAAGCAGGAGGAAGTGCAGGGCGACCGGTGATTAGTGTGTACTTCTCGATGACCTCCTTGGGCGATGGGCCATGAACTAGATACACCGAGACTGACTCGAATGGGACGGAGATGTTGACCCTCGTAGTTCCTGGTAGACATACATCAAACACTTCCTCATAGAACTGTGCCTCCAAGTACTTACTCTCGCTCTGGACTTCGAAGCTGACGGCTCCAGGGGAGGCAACGAATATCCCGTATCCTCTTGAGCTTAAGTAGAAGGGTACATTCTTGTACGTGAGCTCAGACGAGGTACCGCCATCTTCGTTCCACATCTCGACGGTCTGGCCATTCTTGATGAAAGGGCCGAAGCGCTCGCCGAGCCCGTAGATCTTCTCACCGACTGCAAGATCAAACTGAAGCGTCATCCAGCGCTTGCCCGCGTCGGGATCCGCCATGGCTTTGTTGGGATGGTCATTCGCTCCTTGCTTGACGTATCCCACCGAGCGCCAGCCAAGACGGGTAAGACGCTGTTCTGACGCTGTGGAGATGCTCGTCGGAGAGCGAGTACCGCGAGACTTGATGTCTACTGTGAAGTTTGACGGCCTGGTGTCGAGTGTAACGGAGAGGGTGTCGGTCGAAAGACCGATAGTGGTCTCATCCTTCGACGTCTTAAGGTTGTCAGCTCGCGAAGATGCCTGGCTATCCGTGAGCAGGGTATGAATAGACAACACGGTTTGGTCTTACAATCTGCTTGACCAGATCCTGGTCAGGAAAGAGGTCGAAGTCAGGTCCGTTATTAGTCGCTGTCGATCCTTTCCAGTGATACGCTGTGAGAAGCAGGGTGTCTAGATCGAGCATTAGCGCGCCTATTTGAAGCAGAAGGTGCGTAAGATATACCTGGAAGCGGGGAGGAGCATTCGACGGTGACGGTCGGCGTATTGAGCGTGTCGCCACGGTGATAGATGTGGCGAGTGGTCTGTAGGAGTATATCAGTGCGCCGTGCGGCATTCGAGCACAAACATGGACTGGCCGTGACGGCGCGGATCGTGCTTTCTGTAGCTTCGGCTTTCACAACCTCGGTCGCCCAGTTGATCACCGTATCCTCCCCGACCTGCCACATGCCCTTCGTGAACTTGACCATCGCGATCAGCGAGACGCAACGAGCGGCGCTATATCCACAGTAGAGGACGATGACGAAGGGTCATGCCCACGCCCGCTATTCAGCTTGCCCATCTTATATACTCCTGACCAGGAGAAGAGGCGCATAGAATGTCTTGGTGGAAAGCCGTACACTCGAGCGAGAACGAGGCCGCAGAACCTGTCGCGCATACGCGCGGGTAGCCGGGCCGGAGTATTTCAGCGATGTTTTCCCGCTCACGGCGATGTAGCTTGCTCGGAAGAAGCAATGCATTGGTGAATAGGATCTAGGATGCGGCTTTGACTGCAACTCTCTGGGATCCCTGCGAGTTAGATACAAAGGTGGTCTGTAGATTGACCTGGAGGCAGGACCATGGTGGTTGGGATCAACCCGCAATTGGTCCGAGACGGGCCGCTCGTGTCAAGGTCGGCGACTTGCTGCATATGGCCTGGTCTCACAGTGCTGGTTTGCTTTCAACATTGGCAAACACTGCCTAGCTCATTGCTTTGCATTACATGCGTCTACAGTACGATAAGTCAGGATACACGGAAGCAAGAATCAACGTCGAGACAGTACAGAGGTTCAGTGCTCAGCACCTTCGCCTTTTTGCTATATTGGCACATATGGCCGGTAACGAAGACCCTGTGTTGTCGCTTTGCCGCTTGCGTTTACTGATGTTAGGCATAACATCCGAAGGCAATGATGGTGTGGCTGTGAGGGCTGGCAGAACGATAGGTTTGGCTGAAGGATCATCTTGTGCCATGCCTATAGTAGGCGCCCCGAAGCTCCGGAAAGGACGCATATGGCCGGGAGATGGCGGCAGCGGACGTCTTGGGTCCAGCGGGAAGGAGGGAAGGGCATCTTGGTTCATCAATGGACTCGGGAATAGCAGTTGGTTAGGATGCGCCGGAGAGAAGATCCGGCGAGGAGCATAGACGACGGGACTCGCGGATGTGTCACTCTCCGGATTAAGATATGGCGCTGATGGAGTAGGACAAGGTTCATCTTCGAGCGGCTCTGTGCCGTGACGAGATGGTGTGCGAGTTGACTCCATCGAAGGGGCGACGACAGTGATGGTCGGCACATAGTTCTCGTCTTCGTCATCGTTATACAGAGGAAGCCCAGAGGACAACGGCACGAATAGCATGCCTGTCCAAAAGTCCAACACAGACCACCAATCGGCGGACTCCTTCAAATCTTGCGGAGATAGTGGGAGTTTCATGAGGTTGATGCGCCGCTCCAAGAGCTCCCAGTCCACGACTAGGAGTCTTTTCATGAAGTCGACAGCTTTCGCTTGCCAACTGACAAGGTCACACTCGGTGTATGGGGCCACCTGTTCGGGAGGATGCGCGGAGTATTCGTCGAGCTCAGTATCCCAATGGCAGAACTGGTCCTGGAACTGATATAAGCGCCATGAATGCCACCTTTGATGCTGCATGTGCTGACCGCGTCCTCCAACAGTATTGAGAAGTAGTAACGCTCGATGAAGTCGCGCTTCTCTCCATACGTCCTCAACCTAGCCAACAAGTGTGCAGAATGTTCCTTCCAGAGAGACGTGTGACCGTATCGGCAGCGTCTGAATTTGTCGAAGCATTCACAAGCCTCGTCATATGAAATGAACCTCCAGGGCTGACCAGTCATGGGTGGCGTGCGCAATAGGCGAAGTTGCAGGGAATTGGGTGGTGGGCGTTAGTTGATTCCTCGGGACCTCTATCGCGTTGGCCTCTTCATATGAGTGGATGAGATAACAAGAGACGAGTGGGACCCCTTATGCAAGCTAGAGTGTCCACCGTGCCGCATCACCAAACAAGGACGGTGCATCGGCGTTCGCCTTGTTCTTCTTTCAATAAAGCACAAAAGACTCTAGTAAAGCGTGAGTATCGTACCTTGCCCTTCCAATTGTAGCAAACGAGGTCGGTGCACAGCATGATGCAGTCAACGAAGAAACGAAGACAGTCTACGCAGATGGGGAAGACTTCAAGTCCATGTCCATTCCGATAAGAAATGCACAGCTAGACGCCGGCAGAGCGAGCGCCATATTCAGGGATACACTGCGTCGGTTCGAGAGCATGCTTTGGGATAGGATTACTGTCGGCAATAGCCCTACGTGACTGCAAGAAGGCAACTCGCGCGCGGGTGGACGCGAAGACCTCCACGCTCGGTCCGAACCTCCGGAGCGCGCCAGCATCGCGCGCGCGCCGCGGACGCGCTTGCACTACGACCGCGATGCCATTCTACGAGCTCGTTTGCATCGCTGCCCACAACCGGGACTACGTGCGCATCATATACCTGTCTGATGTTCGCATGCATGTATCTGATACATTCTGCAGAGGCACATCAAGGAGCTCGTCAGGCGGTCGGCTTTACATGTTATGGATGGTGGAGGCGTCGTGCGGGGCTTCCGGTACTGGGGTCTGAAGACGTTGCCGCAGACGGTGCACAAACAAAAGGCGATTCATACACATGCAGAGTGCGTCTTCTCTATACCGTTATCTCGCAGAGTACTGATTCATAATGTAGCTATTGGACGATGCATTTTGACGCCTCGCCGGAGAACCAGCGAGGGTTATTCAAACTGCTGAAGAAGGACCCGGCAGTCGTGCGCGCTTCCATGTTGAAGATGGGAGAAAACCTCCGAGGCGTCTCGGGCGGGCCTGAGCGCACTATTCTACCTACCCACATCGTTCCGACCGCAACACTAGGCGCGAAGGGCTTGTGAGGTTCATGGACCTCTGTAGACTGTCTTCATCGGGAAAGTTGGAGATATGGATGTCAAGAGACAACGCATATCGAATTCGTATAGTATATCGCATGTTCTATTGCATATAATACACGGGAGTGCCCCTCCCCACAGCATCCTTCATCCGGACTCTGGCGAGTCACTGTGCTCTTTGTTATACGCCTCGACCCAGTCAATGGCCTCTGTCAATGAACGTACGACGTTGACACCCGTCAGGTCCTCTTTACTCCTGTCCTCGTGCGCTGCAGCTGCGTCTTTCCCATGTAGCCGCAGCAATAGTGCGTGCATCCCTGCCCTCATAGCCCCATAGTAGTCGCTGCCGCCGGACAAAAGTCAGCACACTGATTGTGCTACAACTGGCCCAGAAACTTACTTCTCGAGCTCATCTCCGATGTGCACCACCTGGTGCCTCTCAACCGTTGCCTCGACGGCTGCCCGTCTGAAGATCCTTTCGTCGGGCTTTGCCATGTCTATATTGTCAGATACCAACCAAACTTTGAATGCGCCTAGCAGCCGATTGTCAAAGCAAGATAGCACATTCACTTGGCAAGGGGATTCATGTCAGCGTTCGAACGTTTAGGATGCGTCTAAGCTGCACTTACATATTCGGTCATCGCTATTTGTTATCAATCCTGTTGCGGGATGAGCATGATTAAGATTCATTGTCAGTTCTGAAATCATCCAGCACCATACGGTATTTCCATCTTCTGAAGCCTACTAACTGGGAGCAGCTGTTTCAGCATATACTGTAAGCTGGAAGAACGTGCTCAACATACGGCTCTCAATTGTGTCTGGGTACAGCCTGTAGCCCTCATCTGTACTAAAACGTTGCAAGAGCTGAGGGACGAGTGTGGGCAATGCCGCTTTCGTCGCTTTGGCGTCTGCACCTGCTCCAAGAGCCGTAAGGCTGATAACATCCTGCCAAAACGAGGATGCGCTTTCTGCCGCGGCATCAGGCTTATTTGAATGCACTTGCTTATACGCTAAGAGCTACACCTCAGGAATCGCAGGGGACTGGGTTGAGAGACGTAGACATACCAGCTCTGAACGAACGTCCTACTTCGTTCGGGTCGAGAGTTCCCAGTCCCGCTGCGGCGAATGCTTCGGCGTACTGCACCGGGATGGGAGCCCGAGGTTTCAGAAGCGTATAGAGAGCATCGAAAGTCACGAAGCGGATCGCTCTCTTAGTAGCAGCCATCTAGCGGACAGAGCCAAAGGTTCAATGATACACGAGCTATCACTGGGGTCAAGACGCGCTCGCGTTGTACCGCGAGGTGTGCAGCAATGCAGCGCCGGCGAGCTTTCTGAGCGGGGTGGTGGTTGAGCGCGATAGTAGACTCGGAGTCACGCTATGGATATAGCCCAACTACGGCCTCGCAAGTTGTGGCGTGATGATGGCCGCGGATGGCAAGACGCGCGCCGCCGGCTCCATTCCGCCCATCCTGTTTCTTGACTTGCAACCCCCACGGCGTTGTGTAAGACTACCTGCTTAGTGCTTGACAATGGTCGCGGAAGATACCCCACAATTCAAGGAGGCAGTGCGTCAAGAGGAGCAGCGTCTACGGCTGCTTCACCCGACTCCAGACTCAATACCGTCATGCATGTCACTCTTTGACGACCTTATCTCTTGCAACAGTGCGTAGTCCTGCGACATATTATCGGGTATTGGCTGACCAATTTGTCTCATAGCCGTTGGACGACAATTTCGCTCGCTCTACCGGTTTGGCGAGATGGCGCATTGTAGTGGCAAGTACACGGATTGGAAGTTCTGTCTGAGCGTGAAGGGTCTGCACGAGGAACAACGCAGGGACGCATGGACACGCAACCGTGCGGAGTGGTGGGCACGGAGGAGGTTAGGCGCGAGTAGTGAGAGTGTGTGGGACCTTCGGAGGTGCGTGCATGGACGCGCTCGTATGTGGTTGACTGCTGACGCTGAGGGACAGTGAAAAGTTACAAGACTATCCAAAGGCCGTTGCTTTCGACAAGGCGCCTGATACTTTCTTTGAATAGATATCCCATATCCAATCGTGTGACAAACTCGTCGTGTGTACCGACAGACGAGGGTCTCCACCGCACGCTCGTGCTGGATCTTTCCCTCGTTCCATTCAGCAGGTGCGGTTCGTCATACACCTGTCAGGCTGGAAGGAACTCCGTACGACCGCCAAGTCATAATAACGCGTGTAAGAGACTGTGACTCGCTCTGAGCTGTGCTTTAATGCAATATATCATTCAGAAGACGGTCGTCAGGGGCCAATCATCACGCATCCTGCACGGTCATCACGGATCTCTGTGTGTCAAGTCCGGAATCGAGGTCATTCAAGCGCTTATTCGCCCGCTTACTCTATCAGCCTTCGTACCAATCATACAAAGGCGTTCTGAAAGTCGCAAGATCTGCATGTCATTTGACGCGCATATTCGGCCGATTAGTCGACCGGTCCTCGTACTATGTACGTGAGGGCGCAACGGTCAACTTCTTCAGCCGTATAGGTCACGCCGCCTCTCAGGCCCGATGGTTCGCAAAGCTCTCAGGCCAACTGTATCCCCCTCTTTGTGGTGTCGACCTTGAAGAGTTGTACGCTACAAGATGCTGGTCTGCCAATGCGTATCCATGTCTCCTTCATCAGTCCGACTAATTGCACTATCAACTTGGCGAACCGCATACATACTTGCGGAGTTTACGTGCCGCTCGCCACTCAGTGCGCCAAGGGTTTGATTAGCCCCTCGTGATCCGCCATCTGTGTCTCACAGGCTGTTCATCTCATTGTTGACTCGGATGAGAGACTTCCCAGCCACAGCTCATACCTGTGTATATATACCTCGCTACGCTCGCAGTGAAGAAACCAGGCTCTCTCCATCCACTACCAACTCAGTTCCAAAAACACACTCAGCTTTGCTTCCATGTCCGCCGCTAGATCGCTTCTCCTCTACGTTGCCGGCACCCCGAACAGCTGGAGGGCGGCCGTTTTTGTCGAAGAGCTCAAGGCCGCATACGGCGCCAAGGCTCCCGCATTCGAGTAAGCCATTGTCTCTCTTTCTTGTCTCTTCATGTCTCAAAACCGACGTGCGCAGAATTGAGAGGATCGACATCACCAAGGGTACTCAGAAGGAGCCATGGTTCCTCAAGATCAACCCGAACGGACGCCTCCCAGCGCTGGTCGACCGCATTCGGGACAGCTATCCCGTCTTCGAGAGCGCCGCGATTCAGTTGTACCTCGCCGAGCACTACGACAAGGAGCGCAAGCTCTCGTTCGACCCTGCTACTGAGTCAAATGACTACACTGATATGCTCCAGTGGATCTTCTTCGCGCATGCGCATGGTGAGCTTCATAGACGTCATCTTGAATTCTCAGAGGGGTGCTGATGACCGTCACCAGTCAGCCCGACGACGGGCGAGGCGTTCTTCTACAACATGTTTGCACCCGAGAAGATCCCTTTCTCCATCAAGCGCTACCACGATGAGGCTCTGCGTGTATTCGGGGTACTTGACACGCGCCTGAAGGGCCGCGACTACCTCGCGGGCCCTGGCAAGGGCAAATTCTCGGTCGCCGATACCAACGTCTTTCCTGTGTACAGTGCTTTCTGCCCCCTTTGTTCTTCCGGTGCTTACCTGCACGTTCAGCGTCAAGACTTCTCCGTACATCGGTATTAACTTGGACGAGTTCCCTGACCTGAAGGCATGTTCACGTCGTTCTGTCTGTGTGTTATCTGAGACTGACTACGGCTGTGAACGCAGGCATGGGTGGAAAGGATCAGCGCTCGCCCGGGCGCACAGGCTGGCATGGAGGCAGTTCCTCTCCACCGTGGACCGCCGCCCAAGTAGGATGGCTAAGGAATTGTAGGATTGCACTACTCTACGTAGTACCTTCGGGCTGGTTGTACCACTACCCGAGTCGGTCCAGACGTTGTCTCAAAGATATCCATGTTCTACTTGATTGAAGTTTGTCTTCCGGTGTTGGAGGTGAAGAGAATAGCGAACGTGCTCCTGATGTCGTCAGGAACAGAGTCGGTGAAGTTGACATTCGGCCCGAGCGGACCGGACCGATGCCAGCAAATCTTGAGCACTTGCGTAGCAGAGTCGTGTGCAAGCTGTCCCCTTTCCGAACTCTCTACCCACCCTCGCCTACGCCCACATATCCTGACAAAATGTCGATGAAAGCCGTATGTACGCCGTCATCTGACTGTATCGGTCGTACCTAAATCCCCGCGACAGATCGTGAAGAGTGCGTAGGCTGTAATGGGTGTAATGGCGGGGATCTTGATTGACACGTCCGCTCCTTGCTGCATTTAGGCGTCGCTTCGGGCGACTCACTCATCCTGCGCGGGCGCCCCGGTCCCCAAGGTCAACTTCCGAAGGAACGGTGCGTGTGTCTCGTATCGTAGATCAGGTCAAGGGCTGAACGTCGTGATCAGTATCCTGCATCTCGCCGACATTCAGACGCCGCGCATCGGTAATACGACGCGTGAAGATGAGGTGCGCATATCAGTATAATGTATGTTCTATACTTCTAAACATGCTTCTTGTATAGCCATGGGCATATGAAGCTCGCGAGTTCCTTCGCGCCATGGCCGTTGGCAAGGAATGCACCTTCACCTCCGCACACTCGCTCGGCCCATCCGCAGACGACATCCCGCGCGACCTAGGCACCGCAGAAATTGCAGGTCATGACGTCGCAATTGAGCTCCTCCGCGCTGGCTGGGCAAAGGTGAAGGAGCTCAAGCGCGACCCGACCGAGGAGGACAACCGCCGGCGCGACGCCGAGGCAGAGGCGCGCGCAGCCGGCAAGGGCATTTGGAACCCGCATGGCCAGAAGGTGCGTTTCATTCGTGTAGGCCAAGCACACGCGTAGTCAATGTGGGAGGCCATGCCTTTCCCTCTCACTTGCCTATTCTGCGTGGCGCCAAGTCGCGTGACACGTTTTCTGACAGCCTTCTATTCTTACAGGCTCGCCAGGTCATCTACACTATGCCCACGGACTCGCAGGCGTTCATGACTGAATGGAAGGGCAAGGTTCTGGACGGTCAGTCCCTACGCTCTGGATAGCATATATGCAGCATACTCATGCAAACGCTCTTGTCCAGCCCTCATCGAGCAGGTCAAGGATGGCAGCACCTTCCGCGTTCGCCTCCTGATGCCCGAGGGAGAGCATCAGTGGATCAACCTTGCTCTTGCCGGTGTCCGTGCACCACGCGCAGCCGCAAAGGCCGGCGATACAAGTGAACCGTTCGGCGACGAGGTAAGCTCCCGCCCTCTGTTTCGCCCATCGAGGGTTTTTCTTACCAACATCATATCTCTTCACTCTGAAGCAGACTTGATCTTCGTGCATCCTCTTCGCGTTTTGTTCGGTTCTGACTTCCTTTACCCCCCAAAGGCCAAGTTCTTCACCGAATCCCGCCTATTGCAGCGCGCCGTGAAAGTAGTATTGCTATCCCTGCCCGGCGCAACACCAAGCCCATTCCAGCAAAACGCAAATGGCAACGCGCCCGCGCCGGCCAGCATCTTCATCGGCAACGGTTCGTGCCCCTATCGCGCGCCTAAACGCGTCTTCATGAAACTCACGTGTTGACCCACTTCTATTTGTTTAGTCCTGCACCCGGCCGGTAACATCGCCGAGTTCCTCGTCGGTGCCGGTCTCGCGCGCGTCGTCGACTGGCATGCCGGTATGCTTGCCGCCAACGGCGGTATGGAGCGTCTGCGCGCGGCCGAGAAGGCTGCTCGCGAGCGCCGCTTGGCGTTGTACGCCACTGCGCCCGCGCCGACTGCCACCTCCGCGACGAACGGCAAGTCCTCCGTCCCCGGCGCTTCGAAGAACTTCGACGGTACAGTCGTGCGCGTATGGAGCGGTGACCAGATCTCCATCGTTGACCGCAATGGTCGCGAGCGCCGCGTACAGCTTAGTTCCACCCGCGGCCCCAAGCTCTCGGACCCTCGCCAGGCGTACTATGCTCAGGAGGCACGCGAGTTCCTCCGCCGCAAGCTCATTGGGAAGACCGTTAAGGTCACTGTTGACTTTGTCCGTCCCCGTGAGGGCGACTACGAAGAGCGCGAGGCAGCAACTGTGCGCTACGGCAACCAGAATGCCAACATTGCCGAGCAGCTGATCGAGAAGGGTCTCGCCGGCGCTGTGAGGCACAAGCGTGACGATGAGGATCGCTCTCCTGACTATGACAAGCTCATGGCTGCTGAGCAAGCGTGAGTGCCTTCCGCTTTGTATAGCGACCTTGTCTCACCCGTACACAGTGCTGTCGCTGAGGGCCGCGGTATTCACTCCGGCAAGGACCAGCCGGCACCACGACCCCCATTGAACCTTTCCGAAGCACAACACCGCGCAACACAGTTCTTGTCAGGCTTCAAGCGCCAGGGCCGCATTCCTGCACAGGTTGAGTTCGTTGCTGCTGGGTCGCGCTTCAAGTGCGTACTCCCTCTCTGCCTCTAAGTACCTCGCCGTACTGATCCTCGCACAGGCTCTTCTTGCCGAAGGATAACCAGGTCTTGACTCTTGTTCTCGGCGGCATCCGTGCACCCCGTACGGCACGAAACCCCTCAGAAAAGTCGGAGCCGTATGGTGCCGAGGCAGCGGAGTTCGCCACCCGTCGCTACATGCAACGTGATGTCGAGTTTGAAGTTGATTCGCTTGATAAGTCCGGCGGCTTCATCGGCGCATTGTACCTCAACAAAACGGAGAACGCCGCCGTATCACTGCTGCGCGAGGGTCTTGCCACCGTACATGCCAGCTCCGCGGAGACATTATCGTACTCGCGTTACTTGTTCGAGGCGGAGGAGCAGGCGAAGAAGGAGCAGAAGGGTATCTGGAGCGACTACGACGCCGAGGCGGAAGCAGCAGCTGAGGCCGCCGCCAACGCCGATGCCGATGCACCCATCAAGCCGGAGTTCATGGACGTGATCGTCAGCGACGTTCGCACCAAGAACGGCTTCTCCTTCTCCGTACAGATCCTAAACACGGAGGGCATCGCATCACTTGAGAAGCTCATGCGTGACTTCTCGTTGCATCACCGCGGCTCGGAGGCAACAGCACCGAAGAGCTGGACACCGAAAGCTGGCGAGCTCGTCAGCGCAAGGTTCAGTGATGGTGCATGGTACCGCGCGAAAATCAAGCGCTCTAGCGCGGTCAAGCGTGAGGCGGAGGTCGCATTCATCGACTACGGCAACCAGGACACCGTCGGCTTCGACGCAATCCGCCCGCTTGACCCCAAGTTCCGCTCGCTACCTGGCCAAGCACACGAAGCACGTCTCAGCTTCGTGCGCTTGCTGGGCGACGAGAGCGAGTATGGCGCCGATGCCGTCGCACGTTTCCGTGAACTTTGCGAAGGCCGCAAGTTGATTGCGGTGCAGGACGCGAAGGAGGGCAGCCTGCTCCACCTGCGCCTCATTGATCCTTCAGACCCCGCGAGCGCTGAGGACCCATACGCAAGTGTCAACGCGGACTTGTTGCGGGAGGGCCTAGCTGCGCTTGATAAGAAGGGTTGCGCACGATACTGGCACGCGCAGCCTACACTTGTCAAGAGGTTGCAGGAGGCTGTCCAGGGCGCGAAGAAGGACAGGCTTGGAAGGTTCGAGTTTGGTGATGTTGAGGAGGACGATTAGTCCTTCGGACTTGTGTATACGGGGAGGCGAGCAGTTGTGCCGTTCCTGTAACTGTTGTTGTAAAGCGCTCATCTAATAATATCTTATCCTGGCGCATTTGGACTATCCACATTGTGAAACTTGGCTTATGCGGACTTCCTCTAAGTATAAGCTCGATCCACTTGGCGTTAGTCTCATATTACTGCGCATGAGGGCAGTACAAGGTTCGTAATGCATAGTTTGATTATTCCCCTGGTGAAAGCGTACAATGCATAGCTGATGTTACAGAGGTGTACACGTATCGTCGTGGCTCGTGAGTTCATCCAAGTCATTCCATCCCGCCAGGTTACCTACCACCTGCCCTGCGCTTGCGGACATCTCTCTTCCTCGAAGACAGAGCAGACGCGGGCACGAATGGCGGGGTTCCACCCAACGTGCCCTTGATGTCACCCACATAGTTCGAGGGTTTCACTCCCGCCTTATACGTAGAGTCCCAGTTCCCAACGATATCCTCCACAACCCGCACGCCGGCGAGGTAGATATTCTTCACTGCGGAATCGTACCCCGCGTCCTGCCCGTTGAACAAGTTATCCGCAGCGCTCATCCCCGGCGCCTCACGGTCGAAGTCCGAGCCCGTCCGCATGGAGATGATACGCGTGAAGTCGACCTTCTTCGCCAGAGCGCCGCGAAGGAGGGAACCCATAACGGCATTGTCCTCCTGTTCCGTCGTACAGTACTCGCCTTCGCCGCTGGTGAAGAGCTTGGTGGTGTTCTCGAAAGCCGTGGAGAGTATTTTCCCGCTGAACCAGTTGTCGCTAGTTGCAGTATCGCACTGGACGATCTGAGGTCCTGCGATGTTTGCGGCACGGTACTCCGTGACGCTCGCATATTTGTTACGGTATGCTTGCGCGGAGGGCGTATCGTTCAGAGTGGCCTTCTTGGCGGCGGAGACGGCTTTTTGTCGTAGTGCGTCGTTCAGCTCGAACACCTCTGTGCCGTAGAGGAACTGTGGGAACTCGTTTGGAGATGTGGCACCTTGAGGCACATAACCCGCCGCAAACTGCGGCACCTCCCGTGGGTCAAACTCGTACTGCAACGCAACCTGCACCGCAAAACGAGCGAATGCGACGCTACCCAGAGTGCCCAGCTTCGGGTTGATGCCAGCGTCTCCAGCGATTAGCCAGTACGTCTTCGTCAGGTCGAACTGGTCGGAAAGCCATAGTGATGTTGTCGAAACAGCTGCGTTGATCTCGCCCTCATCGCAGACGACCTGACAGATGCTCCCGTCTTGTGTGCAGTGGATAGTGGGGTAAACGTGAGAGAGACCGGGGATACTGATATTTTGAGAGAGGACGTTGAACTCCGGGATGTTGTACCACGCTGAAGCCTCGTCATCGTACTGCGCAAGATGTCAGCATGCGAACATGGCTACAACGTGCACAGATAACTCGCCATGTCCGCGATAAAGACTTTTGGCGCTATCTTCGCCATCGCGGGCTGAGCGACGCTCAGCAGGGCGATAAACGCAGCGAGCAGGCCATAGTGTGGCATGTCGTCTCAGACTATAGGAGAGTGGTTCAGATTGGCATATACTTCCTAGAACCGAGGGCGCACTCACATTATGCACTGAAGCGGGGCCAAGATGGATTCACAATCACTCAGACTAGTCCTTTATATCATTACCCAGTGACGATCCGGGGCAAATACAAGCCGTGTCCCGAAGCCGCGATACGAATACAGCGTACCCGCATGGGTGCATGATGATGATCCAGCCAGCGTTGCGTGCATCAGGCGAGGCACGAGCGGGGACCCATCGGCTTATCAACCTAAGCAGGTCGGAGAAGGCGGTTGAGTTGGGCGTCAATCACTGCTGTTAAGCACAGCTTGCAGGGGGGTGGCAAAGGACGTTCGGTTTGGATCAGGAACAGATGGAACTGAGGGAAAAGATGTTGCCATGTTAGGCTGGATTGTCTTTCACCCACGCCGAGGAGGCGAGGCATGCATAGCGACCTGTCAGACAATTGAACGAAGAGAGTTACAGCTAGAGTCATGAGTTGGACCAGGTGGTGGTGTGCCGAAGATGGCCCTCTTGGCCAACCGAATCAAGGTAACAGATTCCTTTCCCTCGCCGTCTCAGATTCGCCGAAAGATACACATGCCGCCGCTTCGATGAACTGTTCCAATCTAAATCGTAGACCGCATCTTGAGTATGACGGCATTACAAACAGGTCCCGATTTATTTCACTTTTGACAAAGGCGCTGCTACCTGGCCTCTGAACCACCGAGCGCGCGATACGCCTTCCCATCCCTCACTTTCCTCCGCCTCCTATGCAACAACTCTCCGATGATCCCGGCAACCACGGGCACGGCCCATCTCTCAAACGCCATACTCGCGAACACGTTGAAGATCACGGCACCGAAATACGTCCAACGCGCGATGGGAGGCAGATCGACAAGCTCCAGAATGCCGGCAATAAAGCGCGGTGGCGCAACCAACACGAGGAGATTGAAGGCGCTGAGGCCCGCGAGAGATAGGATAAGCCAGCCTGTGCAGCAGATTGACAGATTAGCGACCGTGTAATACGTATAGAATGAACTGCGGGCGGAAGACGTACCGTTCGTCCACATCGGTTTCCGATATGGAGGGCCAATACTGAAGACGGCCGCAACCAGAATGTACTGGAAACAAGACACCAAGAAGAGCGTCGAGTTCTCGTAATTCGTCGCTTGGAGATGGCTATCCTCTGACGTAGGATCCGCGGGTGGCGGAGGTTCGTAATAGGGCTGCCGACGTATCCAAAAGAATGCCCAGAATTGGATAGCGCTGGTCACTATGATCTGACCGACGATACTGGTGAGAACCGATTTGGACACGAGGCTCGCTGTCGGACGACGGATGTGTATGCGCTCGTAAGGGAGCGTCCTGCCCACTGCGATCGGATTCAGCGCTGTACCGACTGGGGTTTACAGAGACAACTCACTGGCCACGGCGACCGGGATAATGATGAACAGATCGATGTACAAGAACTGTTCGCGATACGTCAACACCAAATGATAGAGCGTATAGAGATATCAGATACACACCTGGAAGTCTCCCAGCGACGATGCGAAAGAGTACAACAGGGTGATTGTTGTGAACTGTATCAACGAATACAATGCCCTGCCCAGCTGTCAGCATAAGCCCAAAGCCACCACATGTAAGCAAACTCACATGTACTTGAAGCAGCTGAAGCTCGTGACGAGCGCCGCGCGGCCTTCACGGATCACCTCGAGTACACAGCCGATGTCGGGCGTACGGCTCGTGAAAGGCGCCGCGACGCTCGCCTCGGCCTCCGAGAGCGAAAGCCCGACATCCGCGGCCTTCAGCGCCGCGCAGTCATTAGCGCCGTCGCCGCACATGAGCACCGTGTACCCAAGACTCTGCAGTCTCTCGACGACTTCATTCTTCTCGTCCGGCGACATCCTCGCAAAGATCTGCGTACGCGCAAACATGCGCTGTAGAGTCTCGAGCGCGGCATTGTCCATCATCCATCGGAATACGTCGCCCGTAACAGCGATCGCGTAGTCCCCTGCGTCCAACAGATCGCTCTCCATAGCATGATGGCTCGGCAATCCTAACGGCTTCAAGCTGTACGGATCCAGTTCCCAACTCGGGTCGTCCATACAGCTCCATCTCAACTCGGATTGGGGCAGGAAGGCGTTACCCGAGACGAACGAGGGCGAGAAAACTTGTACGGTCTGCGTGATGAGCCCGCATTCTCGCGCCACAGATACGGCCGTGAGCGGGTTGTCGCCGGTGATCATGCGGCACGCGAGGTGCGCCGAGCGGAGGGCTTGGATGGCGGGTGCGGTTCCGGGCTTGAGCTTGTTCTCGAAGATGACGAGTCCAAGGAAGCGAAGGTTGGATTCAGCTTGTTCACTGTATATTCATGTCAGTCAAGTTATGCGCTGTGTATGAGTAGAATCTCGTACCGCTTCATGCGCTGTGCCTTCAACCACGAAAGCCCTTCAACGCTCTTGCCCGCGATCGCGATGACACGATACCCGCGCTTGGTGTAATACGACAACAAATCGTCGTAATCCTCCGGGAACGACTCCGGATCGCAAATATCGCCCATTACCTCTGGCGCGCCCTTCACATACACCTCCATGCTCGTGCTCCTCAGCCTGCGCACAACGACGCTCATGCGCCGTAGTTGCGAGACAAACTCGAACGTCCTGATGATGCCGAACTCGAGGAAATGTGCGCGTTTCCCGCCTTTCAACGCGTCTTCCACCCTGAACTGCGCCGAACCGGGCGGGCGTACGATAGTTTGCACGAGCGCCGCGGGACGCGCATCGCCCACGCGTTTATCCTTGATGACGCCCGTACCCGCCACGGAGCCTTCCTCGATATGCCAGCCGGTGAACTCAAACATCTTGACATCCAGCGGATCTCCCACGATCTCCCCGTCAACAACTTTGAGCTGATGGCATGTCGCGAGCGCATACTGCAGCGCAGCCTTGTCCCGCCCAAGCGGCACATCATGGGGATCGGAAAGCAACTCGCCGAAACGGGTGTTGGTGGACCGGTCGAGCGCACGTACGCCGAGCACGTCCAGTCCGTCTTCGGTGAGCGTGCCCGTTTTGTCGAAGCAGCATACGTTCACTTTGCCCGCGACGTTGACCCTCGTAGGCGCGATGCAGAATATGCCGTTCTTGCGTAGTCTAGATAACGCGAAGCTCGTGCCGATGGAGAGTGTGGCGGGTAAGGCGGGAGGAACGACTACTGTGATCAAGTCGAGCGCGCGGAGGACAATGGTGTGCCATGGTACGCCTAGTCGTACGAATTGGACGGCTGACGCGCAGAAGCCGAGGCCGGCAATGCCTGCGAGGACGATGATAAACCGGATGGAGTCGCGGTAGAACTTAAAGCCCATAGGTTTGGGGAAGAGCATCGAGCGCACGAGGGCGCCTTTGGTCGTGTTGAATCCTATGCGCCATCGTGAATGAGCTTGGTGCTGTAAATAGCGGACAGGCGCATGTACCTGTGCGAACAACAATGCCGATAGCTGGTCGGTCCGGCGCGTTCTCACTCCCAACTCCCTTCCTGATCCTGACCACTTTTGTCCCTGCATATAAGAAACTCTTCGCCGCTTCGCCCTCAATATCCCTACTATCCCTCCATCCGGATAGGACCTCGTCGCTGACGGGGATCTTAGATACTGGTACAGACTCGCCCGTGAGCATGCTCTCGTTCACAATTGCATCGCCGGAGAGGAGGAATATGTCTGCAGGTACGATTGAGAGTTGAGGCTCGAGTAGATGGATAACGTCGCCGGGTACGAGATCGGTGGAGTCGCGCTCAAGCCCTGATGCTAGTTAGGCCCCAGACGCACCTGGTAGAGAAGGAGTTACTCACATAATCCGTCTACGAAGACGCTTACAGGGCAGGAGAAGCGGGACATCTCACGCATCCGAGCGATGGTCTGATATGCGTGATGTTAGTGGACCGACAGCGTTCGATGCATTCGAAGCTTCACCTTCTTGGTCTCTACGAGCGTAGATGCGATACTGACGGCCGAAATGAGGAAGATACAAAATGCGTAGTAGTAATAGTCGTCCAAGGACCAGAGCACAATGCTAGCGATTTGGAACACGTAGAACGGGTGGATGACCTGCCAAGGCGTCAGTCCAGTACGATGAGGTGCATATAATGTAGACTGACCTCATCTACAAGCAATGTAATCGTGGACTTGCCCTCGATGTCGATCAGGTTCTGACTGAAGACTGTCTTGCGTTGCTCGCGTGTGGGCTCTGACAGTCCATCTTTCACCGCAGGAGTCGTAGTCCATGCTGAGTCTCGCCAGTCCCTGCATATAATTACTAAATGCATGCAGCTTATAAGCATGATGCACATACTTGACGAGTTGAAAGTGGCCCGTAGTAGGGTTGAGCGCGAACCTGGCGTATCTGTAGTCCACGACAATCAGAGTATCGAGTATTTGGTCGCGGTCTCCGACAGTCGCAGTGGTGCCATTTGTCTTGCTGGAAGCTCCGCTCTCGGAGAAGGTCCCAGAGAAGACCGTCGACGCAGGGTACGGATATTCAATGCGTTTGATGGGGAACAGTGCGATATCCCTATAGGGCGTCTCGTGAATCGTCAGTCGACAGCAATATACTCCAACGTCTTGGGGCACACCTCAACTAAGATGAACCCGTGTTTTATATCTCCAAATGCGCGCTCACGGGTTACCCATCGTAACCAGAGCTTGGGAAACCAATGTCCAAGTAACGCCAGTATACCGGCGGAAAATACACAGGCCAGTCTCCAGAAGAATTGCCAGGTATGCACAGTTTCGTATCCAACAAAGCGTACGGTCATGTCTTCGTCGTGAAGATAGAGCATCTGCCTCGAGGGTGGTCCGTCGGTGGGCTCGTCCAAGGGTCCCAAGTCTATCTCTATTCGCGTATCGTCGCCGAAGAATTGTTCGCCATTCATTAACGGGAGATTCATTGATCGCGTCGGTGAAGGCGGGTTCGAGCCGTACTCGGAGCCCATAGGCTGCGGAGAGTGTACGAGGTTCTCGTCCTCGGACGCATCGTCCTCTTCGCCGGACGAATATCCCCAGCGGTCGTCGCCTTCCTCGTCACTGTCGCCGGCTTCTGAACCGGCATTCGAGCGCCTTGCCCAGCGTCTTGATGACGCAGAAGAACGCGCGGACAGAGACGGCCGCCGCTTTGAACTATCTCCACCAAATAGATGCGTGATGCCGCTCAAGACTCCTCTCCGCGTCGGAGAGGCTGCCATGGGCGACGGCGAGCGCCTTCCTCTCCTCGACGAGCGCCCAGCCGCAATATCCTCCTCTTCTGCGTCACTGACCGCGACCGAAGACGCATATTCTGCGGCCGAGTCTACGCTCTGCCGTCGCCTGTGATTCGTAGCCTGAGAGTCCTCAGAGCGGCGGCGTGAGAGCGAGCGGCGATGACCCATGCGCGAGACGCTGGACGGGATGACAGAGTGCCCAGGTCCGTCGAACATCGAGCCCGACTCCTCGTACGCCTGGCTGTACTGCGAGTCTCGTCGTGCGCGTCGGGACTTTGCGACTGCATCCGAAATGTCGATGGCAGAGGCGCCCTCGGTGTAGTCGAACCGTGACGAGGACGGTCCTGCGACTGCGTCCGCCATACTTCAGCTCGCCCAGTATAGCACTGAGAAGTTACTACTGTAGTGATGAGCGCGGGCACGGTGTAGTTGGAGTTCGAGGTGTGCTATCAAGAAATGACTTCGACTCGGTCAACTTGCGGATGCTCGGGGCCGGCTGCCGACGCGTGCGACTTCCGTCGCCACCCCTGTCTTCATTCCTTTGCTCTAACCTCCATGTGTCTGTGCAGCCCAGCTGCCGCTGAATCCCCTCCTCCCGCACGGCTGTCACAGGCACACTAATCCAGGAGCTCTTTCAAGGGTCTGATACTCTCCTCGCACTACCAACCGGAAGCGACCCCTTTTCGGGCCACACTCTCTTGGAGCTAACCTCTGCCCAGCCGAATCCCCGCTGCCTACTGCGCTACTCAACCCTGCTCTCCTCACAACCCTCCACACCGTTTCGTTGCTTCATATTTCCCTCACTGCTTACTCTTGTTTACTATAGTCTTTCCTTATAACCCCTAAACCCGCATAGTGTCTCGCTCTCTACCGCCATTTCTGCCATAATCTCAGCCTCAGCCTCTCGTAATTTCTACACATAATGTCCTTCCAGCTACACTGCTCGTTCTGTAATATCACTATCCCCGAAGCTCATGGCGTCCATCACCTCAACGGCCAGGAGCACGCGGCCAACGCCTCACATGCGGTCACTCGCACTCACAAGATCTCTCGCGCGAGCCGGGCGCTCGGCGTCCCTATGCTCAGAGTCTACTCGTACCGGGAGTACACAAACTTCCTGCCTCTTTACGTTTGGAAAGAGGCCGAGGTCGAAAAAGCACTGAGCTCGCTCATGGCTTACAGGTAAGCCTGATCAGAATCCGTGTTCCATCCGCTCCCAACTGACGGTGTTACCCAGAATGGGTGGTCCCCTCGGCTTTGATCTTGAATGGGAGTCTGAAGGAGGCGTGCCGCGCCGTGTGGCGTTGGTTCAACTCAGCACCGTACACGTCGTTGTGCTGATTCAAGTCTCAGCCATGCGAGGTATGTTCCATTCGAATGCTCTTGTCGAATCTTTGCTGAATTTCGCTTGGGTAGTCTTTCCGGCACGGTTACTAGTAAGTTCTACGTATAATCCATTCTACTCAGTACCTCATACTGCACCTGTGACTCAGGAGATTCTTGGCAATCCACACATCCTCAAACTCGGGGTAGGCGTGCTCGGTACGCGTCCCTTCCCCACCACATATGCAGCTCCCTAACGACACTCAGACGATGCCAAACGCCTCTATCAAGACTACGGCGTCTGCTCTAATAACCTCATTGATCTCTGCCACTACGCCCGATCCACCGATCCGGACTTTCTCGCCCGTAACGGCAAGCGTCAAGTTGGACTCGCTGAGATCGTCGCGCGGTACTTGTATCGTGCGCTGGAGAAGGGTCCGGTGAGGATGAGTCACTGGGAGGATAGGTTGAGTTTCGAGCAGGCTGAATGTACGTTCGACCTACATCTAGTAGCTGTCTGTATCATTGACATGTCTTGAATAGACGCGGCGAACGACGCGCACTCCGCCGTCCAAGCCTTCCATGCGATGCAAGCTCGCTTGAACTACCAAACGATCAAAAGCCTCAACGCGACTAACTTCACGTACAACTGGGATAGTGCCCGTCCCGCGAGCGCAAAGAAGGCGGCGTCGGTGCCTGTCATGCGGTCCGGTGTGCTTGTGGCGGCGGCTACGGCTTGGACTTGCTATTCGTGCGGTGTCACTATGGCGCTCGAGTCAAAGAACGAGCATCTGGTCGGACCTGATCACCTTGCACATGTACGTCGCTGCTGCCGTCCTATGCGTGTGTTGTTCTGACACGAATCGTAGCTTGTCCGGAAGGGGATGTCACTGTGATCAAATCATGTATGGCCGGTACAACCTTCGCTTTCTATTATATATCGATAATGTACACATTCCTTATATTTGCCATATAGCTTTAGTTCAATCGTTACATAGCCCGCGCCTAACTAAAAGAATTGATCGTCATAAACTGATGTTCATCTTCGTCGCTACCATCCAATTCGTAACGGCGCCGACGCTTCTGTTTCGGGACTACGACCCGCTCATCCACAACATCCTCGACCACATCCGTAGCCCGTGCCAACATCTCATCCTCTAACTCCCGCAACATCTCGCGCACGGCCTCCGACTTCCAAGTACCCAGTATGCGCAAAGTACGGATGGGTGCACCCTCTTCGTGACGACTCTCGAGGGTCGACACGAGCGTCTCCCAGTACTCCTCATATCTCTCGCGTATCGTCCCCTTCGAAGTGTACGGTCCCTCCGTACTGTCCAGCTCGACGCGGACGAGCAACGTCTCCAGACGGGGGAATATCACCCCATCGTAATCGTCCCCAAGCTCGAGAACACCCAACGCGTCCAAGCCAGACGCACCTTCAGAGAAGCCCTCTGAAAGATAAAGCGTCCGCACCGCCGTCATATGCACGAGCAGGTTCTCCTGGATATCCTCCATCCAATCGCTGTAGTTGTTGTTCGTCGAGTTGAGGTCAATGTAAACTTGCTCGATCTGTTTGGAGTTTTGCACGCCCTCCACAAGGTAGTCGAACCACGAGTATGATCCCGAGGACCTTCCGAGCGCAAGCCCGACTTCTACACCAGCATCCAAATCCGGCGGTCGGTCCTCGCGCTTTATAAACTTCGCCGGGTCGTCCAATGCGGGGCCGGACAGCAATGCTATCCCTAGCACCTCGCTCGGCGTCGAGATCGCGAACGCGCGATCCTGGGGGCGACAGAGCTGCCCGGAGAACCCTTCCACGAACTTCGCTGCCTCGGACTCCTCGTCGCCGTAAGTGGTCGTCATCCCCATGAAGGTACCGAAATGAGCGTCGAGGGAGACGAGCTGTGAGCTGCGGCAGATGTGGTGCATGAAAGGCGCGAGGTGTGCTTTGGCGCTCTCCTCGAACTTGAGGTGCTTGAGGTGCTTGAGGCGGAAAGGGTTCACGTCGAAAAGCTTGTCCCAGTTAGGCCTGGCCTTCTCCAGTTGCAAGCGAAATGAGAGTCTCTCGATGAGAGGTGACGATCGTAGAAGGCTGGCCAGCCAGTAAAGGTCGGTGATATCGTGCGTCTGGTCTTTGACACGCACATCGAGATGGCGCAGAGCGGGGAATTTAAAGCGAAGTTCGGGTATGACTGATACGTCCGAGTAAACCGAGCCGATTTTGCTCCGCTTGAAGGTCAACGTCGCAATCTCGAGATTCGGGGCGTAGATCCGTAGTTTGGCATCGGTGGACGGTTTCACGTTCGCAGTGCTATCAGACTGCCCGCGTCTGGAAAGGTAGTTTGAAGTATTGTAGTCGAGGTGCAGATCAAGACGGCGAAGGTGTGGCATTGGCTCGGCGGGGAAGCACTGTAGTAGTTTCGGTTCCATGGTGTGTTGCAACGTCAGAGATTGCGCCCTCGGTATGCACCTCAAGGCTAATTCTTCCTGCTCGGGTTTCAACTTGGGTGCGTCGTATGACCTTTCGGAGATAGTAATGTCCAAGGGAGCGTCTGCGGCTCTGGCGAGGAGTGTAGAGAGGGCCTTCCGGTTGGGATACGAGAACACGATGCGAGCCCAGAGGTCCGACATCTTCAAGAGCACCTCCCTCCATCGACGGCACACATGGCTCATGCGGATCCAACCCAGCTCCTTCACGAGGTCGACGCGCGAGGCGGTGGGTGGCCAGACATGATATCGGCGTTCCTCCCGCTTGATTGGTGTCGGCTCGGCTGTGGCAAGGATGCTGAAGATTTCGCAGAGTATCTCGTTCGGTAGCGCGTATATCGACAGCGGGCGGCGTGACATGGATGGATAGCAATGTGTTGCAGAAGAAAGGTAGTAGTTGAGGAATACCTCTGGCTTCAGGACATCGGCGTTAGTGGTGGTTGCAAGCCCACTCGACAACGTCGATGCAGATATTCGGATCAGAGCGGACCGCAGCCCGATGTTGAAAGCTAGATACTTACCTTGAGCAGTCCCAGGTACGTATACTCACACATAATGCCATCTACGGTATGCCATGAGCGTATGCGTCTCCCTCCAAGAATCCAACGCGTGTAGTGAGATCAGCGAACATCCACTTGAAGCACGAAAGACTCGGCGCAAGTACATCGTGTGGGTATATACATGAACAAGGACTGAGTCGTAATGATACAGTGATACAGGGTGTCAGACAAAGCGATATATGCAAGGAAGAACAATGCGAGGCGAGGTGAAGCGAGGCAGGAAGGTGGCGTATCAATTGAGTTTCGTGATTTGGTATGAATGGAGAACCGAACCAGGGAGTTTGACGTAAGGGGTTCCAGAGGTGTATGTCGTGAGGGTCATAGATATGGGTATGCTGCGAGCCAGGACAGGGCATGAAATAAGGAATAAGAAACACGAGAAAGGCCCGTCGCTGAAGACGAGTGCTGTTAATGATGATGCCATGCAGACAGGCGGAAATGTTTATGAAGATGCAGTCGGTCCGGTTCCGTGAAGATTCCGTGCAGGGAGGTATGGTGTGCACCAGTAAACTAGAGAAGGCACAAAATGAGCTGTCCTGCCAAGTGAGCTCAACGGTCGTATGCGACCATGCGCTTGGCCCGCGCACGAGGGTCGTCGCGCACGCCCGGTATCTCACCCGCACGAGTGAGATGGTGCCAGTAGAGTAGGGCACCGGGCTTGAGAGACCGAACGGTCTTGGGAGGTTCCTCAGCGAGCGGCATTCCCTGGCTGACATAGTACTGTGCATGCGGCGGTAGCGGTTGCGAATGGGGGTATGCGTGGTACAGCGGGTGCGACTCCAGCGGGAAGCCGCGCCGGTGAGAGGAAGCTCGCTGTTCGGGTGAAGGTGATACCGCGATGAGACCAGGCATGGTCGGGCTTGCGGGGAGTTCTTCGTCTGCGTACGGAGAGGCGGGGTCTGGACTGTTACCCGGTCCAGTACCGATCGAGGACAATGATCCAGTGGACAGGAATGAACGCAGGGGCATGGACGTGTCAATCTGGGACTCAATTACACGCGGACCTGGTTGGTCAACTGGCGGCGTGGATGTACGGGGTCGCGGGGCGTATTGGGGAAGAACGCCGGGCTCGTGGGGGATGTAGTGTCGTTCATGAGCCGTGATTTCCTACAAGACTATGAGCACTTCCACTCGACGCGAAAGACCGATGAAGATACGTACGGCCGAATGGAAGACGAACCGATGTCCGTTCGTTGCACGGTTATTACCCGCAACGCTAGATGTACAACGGGAACACTGATACAATTCATGAGCGTTGCAGAATGACATGAAGGGGAGGGAAATGTACCGGGATGACAATCATGTATCCAACGCCGTTGCCGCAGCCATGGCAGCACAGTGTCTGCGTGAGGCAGTCACACGTGCGGGGGAGCTCCTCTTGAGCCGATGATGCGTTGGGCGTGTACTGCGCGATGCTCCCGTGGGCAGAGCAGTTGACAGGTAAAGCGTCGGTTGAGTAGAGAGGCACATGCGGCCGTAAAAGAAGCACGGCCTGTCTTGATCAGTACACATCCCGGCCTTGTTCCCCTTACGGCTTACCTTCATGCCCCGATTGGTGAGGAAGTTGCCGCATGTTCTACAGTCGAGAAGCCAGACTTTGTGAGCCACGGGCTGAGCAGGATGCGGCGCCTGGACTGGTATCGGAGGTTGCGATGCTGGATCGTGCGATGACCAGTACATGCCATACCCTTGGTCGTGGGGACTCGCATAACTGTAGGGCATGGACGGTGCTCGATAGGAAGCGGCTACCTGAGGCGGAGGAGCGTAGAAGACCTGGGGCTCGAGCTCTCGTTCTACGGCCACCTGCGAAGGCATGGTGGCGGGCGGAGACAAAGGAGGGTGTGGGGGAAGGAAGGAAATCGGACCAGGGCAGGGATGGCGGTTAAAGGCAAACAGGTTGACGTGCCGCCAGCTTCTTCGGGCGGCGCTGCAGCCGTCGCCGCCGCGCAGTGGCACACACGGTCACGTCGGCCACATCTCCTCGCTCCCACCAGTCGACCGGGCGGGATCATCAGAACGTCCTCCGCGATCAGGGCGTCCCGACTTCACCGGCGCCCTGCATGCGCATGAGGCTACCGAAGCTCGACGCCCGCGATCCTCATGTATACGCGCACGTAAAGCTCATGACGGCGGCGTTTGCCAACATGCTACGCGCAGCACAGAACGTTCCGGGCGTCGACAACAAATGCAAACCTGCCCGACTGTATGTAATCGATGTAGGCTTCCGCCGGCACGGACGTCAGAAGAGACTTCGACTCAGAAGCACTTTATCGGCTCTGCGCACGGCATATCGCCGCGATAGAGGCGGATATCCCAGCGGCGCGATACTGTGACGCCGGAACGTGTGGTCGTGTGGTCAAGGGAAGGAGAACGATCGCGCGTGCGTGCGTCGGTCTGCGTCGGTGCCACTCAACTCGGCGCGAACAGCCGGCGTTCATATTACGTAACGTTCACAGCCAATCCTGAGGCCTGAAAGCAGCGCCCAATAAATACATGCTCAATGCTCATGCAAACGCGAGCGAGAGACGGGTGCATAGGTCCTAACAGATGAGCACAGTGGTCGCAGAAGATCCAAACCGTCCGAGTCATGACTCCCTCATACCGCACGTTTCTTCAACATTCGCGGTTTGAACACCAGGCCTCACGCCCATCCCACAGACCGGCCAGATCTCGTCCCTTTCGTAGGTGCCGTGGGCGTCGCAGGAGGTGACGCGATGATGCCACTTGCAGCGGTCGCTGGCTCCGTCCTGGCCCGCGATAAAACCGACGCGCGGCGGACAGTCGTCTTGGAGGTTGCGGAAAACGTAGAGGCCGGTCTGGCCTTTACGACCGAGGGTGCGGGCTTTGCGCCGCTGGAGCCAGTACTTTTCCCCACTGAACGTGTCACAGGGGCAGACCGGGTAGCAGCAGATACAGCGCGCGCTGGCGCCTGTGCTTTGTTCGGTGAACTAGGCAGCTTGCTGATGCGTGGAGCGGGCTTCGCTTTGGGTGAAGCGACCGAGGCAGTCCGAGCTTTAGCCGCCAGCTTTGGCGACGCTTGAATGCTACTATGGCGCGGTGCCGCCGGCACCTTGGATGCTGAAGAGATAGGCGCCGCCTTGGTCTTCACAAGAGGCGCCGCCGTCTTCGCTTTGGACGCAGCTGTGGCGGCTTGCACCTTCGAGGGGACGGACGATGTCTTGACCCTCGGGGAGGTCTTCGCCGTATTCGCGCTGGGTTTCGGCAGCCGGGTCGTCTTCGTGTCGGATTTGGTAGAGGGTGTGGTACGTGATCGAGCCATGGTTGAAGGGGCCGCGCGTTTGGACGACGAGATCAATCCCGACTTGCCCAAGCGCGGCGACGTAGAAGGGCGTCCTTGACTAGGTTGCGTAGCAGTCGGAGACATTGCGGGAGTAGCCATGCTTCAACGGGTCTAAGTTGGACAAGTCTTGGACAAGATCAGGCTAGAGCGGGAGAGGGTTATCCTGAAAGAATAGAGGATGGGCGCAGGAGGTGAGTCGACGACCTCATGTTTAAAAGCTCATTGCAGCGTTGAGGCCTTGAGGCGAACCTACGCCGCACCGAAGGTTCCAGCATGAGAGAATGTGTACGATAGCGCCAGAGAACGTGCGCTCGAGAATCCGTAGGAAATCGTTGGATCAGGCAGGAGCACTGAATGAATGAACTGGCGTGAACTCTGATAGCGATCGGATACGGGCCAACTCCAATTGCATGTCTTTGCTCATTCAAACAAGAAGTACGACCAGCTGAGAGGATACCAATCCCGCATTGGGGTCAGAATGACGAGAAAAGACTGACGGGGAGTGGGTCGACATGGTGGTGAAAGCCCGAATCAACCTGAATCAACCTTACCAGTCCTCACGCATCCGTTGCGCATCCGCGTGGTGCCGCGAAGGTCCGCGGGTCGGCTACGATATATTTCGATGCGCAACCCAGGAATCGTGCATAGTAGCAGTAAAGAATCGGCCTTTGAATTTCTATAAATGAATAATTTAAGGAGGGTGGACGTCGGCACCAAGCGGGTCGCCGCTTGGGCTGGTAGATTCTCGGACCCGAAAGCTGCAAGAATTCACAAATGGTAAACACGATCACATGAGATTACAAGCGTTTACGGGTAGGGTGAACTGTCCACAGAACAAAAGCAAGGTATAGTTAATGGTATTAAACATAAGCATTGTACGTGTATAGTAGTATAGTAATCGACCGTCCGCAGTTGATAATCATGAAACGAAACCCATCGATACAACATCATAGCTTACCCTTGATGTATAGAGCTCGCATATCTTCAATCAACTGGATCTTCGCCTTGTACTCTTCGAGGACCTCACGCGAGCTCTCTTCCAAATTGGACTCCGGCACCCATGTATCGTCCAACGGCGAGTAGCCCTCCCAACGCACGAGGTATCTCGGCTCCACATCTTCGTCTTCCTCGTCGCGCTTGTCCTTAGCCACGATGTGTGAAACGTACCACTCCGCCTCGTCCTCTTTGGCGTTGCCCACAGCAGGAGCAGGTTGAGTGTATGCTGCGTCACGTCTTGCGCAGGCCTCCGCAAGCGACTTCCAACCTTGAGGGAGCTCTCGCGTGACAGGAACTGGGTTCGGCCGTGTGAACTTGTACTTTCCGTTGTCCTTGCCGTAGTTGCCCGCCGCGATGCGAACATACTTCGAGAACTCGCAAAGGGCGTGCTCATGATCGATGGCAGTGAGGCCTATTTCGCCGTCAGTAAGAGCGGGGATGTCTGATTCCTGGTATCCGGCTTTCAAGAATAGTCGGTTCCCGTTCCGTTGAAGCCATCGGAACGCTTGGATGCAGTGCTTTTCGCTAGGCGGTTTGCCTGTCTTTTGGCTGAATATAAGAGCAGTACCCATTTTTGCGCCTGGACCTGGTGTCGCCCAATCATGAGGGCGTGTTAACGATGGTATCATGTTAAGGTCGAGTACGATACTGGCCAAAAGATGAGCAGGGGCGCTGATAGTAAGTGACACTAAGAGCGTACCGTAGAGCCAGGAAGGAGCCCATACTAGGGTAACGTTGGACGAAATGATATTGATCGCAGAGTTCCGGCAGCTCGAGAAGACGCTGCGGCAAAGACGTCCTCATCATCAGTTCGACGAGTCGAAGGTGCCGTTCGTGCGAACTGCGCCCCCCAATCTTCTCCACTGACGGGGCGGGCGCCTGATAGGCGGAGGTGTAGAGCGCCTCGCGAGAGGCCACCCGCTTGTCCAAGGCCTGAACGTAACGCTTGCGGTTGAAACCCTTCCAGGTCAGTTCGCCGAGGGTATTCTGTAGGTATTCCCAGGTGGATTGGCGTGCGAAGACGCGATAGAGAATGCAACGGAAGCTGCACTCTTCTAGACTTTGGTCGCCTTCGTCGATGACATGGCGTTTGATGTACTGAGAGCCCCTGTCGAAGAGGCGGAATATCTCGGCGAAGCGGTAGCCGCGCAGGACATCGTCCTTGGTCCACGGCCGAGGTTCACGAGCAAAGCGCTTGTTCGAGATACTTTGGCGCTCGCGTAGGAAGTATAGGTAGTGAGAGAGTTGTTCCGCGTCGACTTCGAGTTCTTCTCCGTCTTCGAGTATGGCGACGGTCCCCCGAAGCTTCCCGTGGCCTTTGAACTTGATGGCATCGTGGGTGCGGGACTTCGCGGGAGGTGTGGCACTGGGAGATGCCCGGCTGTCGGCGCTAGCTCTTGTGCGTCGCGGTGCCATAGAGAGTCGGCGAAGGCCTGATACGTGTGCGAAGGTGGGCGGGTGGGCGGGTGGGAGAGGTAAAGGTCTCGAACATCAACGTCGCTGGCGAGGTGGTTGAAATCGCGCTCGCGTGACTTCTCTGACCTACGCGCGTCTTTGCTCTTTACAGTGTAATGGGGACGCGCAACGCGAGCGAAGCGAGCGTGCGCGGACCGCGTGGCCGGGTAGAGTAGTAACCGGAGTCCGCAGTCGCTAAAGTCCAGAGAAACCCTAAGTTGTCAAACATCGACGGCAAACGTCGTGTGCGGCCGCAGAAGAGCAGTTTAAAGCGGCAGTATGCAAGAGCAGTACATGTAGTACCTATCCTATCTTTCCTGGAGTCTGTAGAGGGAGGGGTAAGGCTCAGGGTGGCTTAAGGTGGCTCTGAGGCTGGATCGGCAGACGCCGAGCCTGCCTTATCCCTGCCACACTGCCAAATATGACTTGCCGAGGCTCGGCCGAGCAAGGGCCACGCGAGCCCCGCGACCTTCGTGTCCTCGCGCGGCGCGTCTTTTCTGCTGCTGGCGCGCACTCCAAACGTTCGAT